TTTGTTTCCTCTTGAGATTAAAAAGGAGGAGAAGCAGCCAAGCAAAGAGCAGCACCTAATCCTGCAGCCCCTTCTCCTCCCCTTCTCAACTCCACCTTCTGCCATTCTTCACAATATTGTCCTTCAGAGAAGGGGGACAACCAGTCCTTACGCTGATCTGGAGGAATCTACTGAACAAGTTTAGTGACAGACAGTAGCAAACACTTTCTAGAAGCCCACATCAACTGTGTAGCCTCTCCATTGCTCCAGGCTTGCTCTGCAAGATGCTGAGTTGATTTAACAGATCCTGCCCTACAGGTCTGTGGAAATATTCACTATCTTCACCTATGCACAGTGGTTCTCTCCTACCATGTCTCCATCACTCACTATAAAGAAAGAAGGAAGGAGGGGAGACAGGCAACCAAGGATCAAGACAATTTTCCTCACATCTGAAAACAGAAATACATTTGCTTTTCTCCATATACAAAACTTTGCCAGCAAGTCAAACAAAGCCGTTGTTTAGTTCTTTGTAACTCCTGTGGCCACCATGAGCTCATGGACCACTCTTCAGAGGCTCCTCTATCAGCATCTCCTCTGGATCTGCGTTTCACCGAGGTGCCCAGACCACATCACGGTGAACAGAGGCTCTGGAGCCGCCCCTCCTCGTGGCCCTGAGGCCATTCCGTACTCCCCAGCTCGGGAAGCTCTTGGAGCAACCCCTCTGCAGCAAGTCCATTAACAGGAGCACCCTGTGCAGCCATCCTGGTGAAGGGGGGTGTCGGAAGACAAGAAGCCCGAGAAACACTAGAGGCTGCCAAACCACGAGACTGTGACAGTCCAAAGATCATAGCGGCACGACAGGAACCGAGCGTCTGGGGCTCTGTTCCTCACCCTGCAGTTACTTGCTGCCTTCTTGAGCTCCTCTTTTCCTGTCTCCAGATGAGCAGAGGTAACTCCCGGCCATCTTTGAAGCTCATGAAGACTCTACAGTTCAAAGCTTTTCTGATGAAAAGTGCATTTGGCAATAAGAACATTACTGGGTCCTAGAGTCAGTCCTAGGTCTACACTCGAAAACAGGATATCAGCAAATGGAAGAAGGCCAGAAACAGCCACAAAGTTACATCAGGGTCTAAAAAATCTAGTCCAGAGAGACTGACAAAACTTGACCAGTTCAGTCTAACAAAGCGAAGGGTCACAGGCAGAAGGGGCTTCACAGCGCAGAGAAGCTTTAGCTGGACAAAGATAGAGGGAGAGTCAGCATGTGAAGCTGAGGCCAACAAGCATGTAACTGGAAAGAGCAGACGGCCTGAGGACACAACAACGTCTGTCTTTGGGGGCAGTAATGCAGCAGGGTATTTCTGCCTGATGATACTGCCCAGCTTCTCCAGGAATACCAAGCCAATGCAGAGGCTGATGGGTGCAGGGGGATCCCTTGCTTGGCTGGACGGAGGTCCAAGTGGGATGATTTGGAAGGTGTCTCTCTTGTCCGGTGTGTCAGACCGTCTTGGAGGTGGAGCAGCAGCAGCAGAACTCCACCTGCTTCTGCAGGGCAGCAAGCACTTTGGCTATGAACCTCGGCACATCAACAGCACATTGCTGGAAGCTCAGAGACTTGTGCAGGGGAAGGAACACAGCAAGCGCCAGCCCAGAGGAGGAAGGAGGCCCTGGAAGCCACTGGCAGGCTCGGTCCTGTGTCCTGCCCACAGACTGTCTCGCTGTGCTGCAGTGAACTCAGCAAGATCTTTGGCTTTGGACAGTCCTGCTGCACTATTTGGAAAACTAAGTTTCCAAACTCTCTCCATGCCACCTGTCCTGCCTGCACACACTCCTCTACCAGCTCCGCTGTCTTCCTCTCCGCACAAATCTGTCCTGCTCAGCCGCTCAGCCCTGCGCAGACCCTTCCCTGGCGGCCTCCGTCCCCCTGGCACTGAGCAGAGAGGGCCAGTTGCACTCCAGAAGACAAGGCTGGGAAAGGCAGAGGGGAATACACAGACCCACTCGAGGACAGGTTTACCTGAGCAGAGAGCACGCTCCTCGGATGCGCTGTGGGCTCCCTCTTCCACCTGTAGCAGCCCTGCTGTATGAATCCTTCTCAAAGTCTGGCTAGAAATACTTTTCCCTCACACTCTTCCCACTAGAAACAGCTGCTCCACCTGGCTATTTGGTTGCGGCTCTTCTACCCTTAATGCCCAGTGTTTTCCTGCTTCCTCTTCTCCTCCACCATATGTAATCAAACCATTTCTCCAGGCTCGTAAGTCCTTTGGTTCATCCAGCCTGCTGTGCTGCACAGGGCCACCACAGGGATGTCCCCTAGAGCCTCTCTGGTGTCCAGCACAAGGGGCTACCCAGTACACAGTGCTATGTGTGTGAAAGGGAGAAGGTGCTGCTCTGCAGTAGTCCTCCTTTCACACAGCCCTGCAGCTCATTTATGCATCATGCACAAGGGAATCAGGCCACGCACGATCATCAAGTCTGGCCCTTAGGACTTGCTCTTTGCACATAATGTGACTGCAGGTGAAATTAAGTCTAACTTTCTGTGCCTTCACTGGAGCAGTCCTTCCTAACTGGGAGCTTGTGGTCCACTCACTGCAAGCCTACACATTGACACAGCGCTGCTGCCCCGTCCTGCCCAGATCCCTCCACCCGCCTGCAGTTACCATCCTGGAAGACTCGCTCCACATTCAGTCCGTAGGTAGCACAGGTCTCATAGTACGTGCAGCGCTTCAAATCATTGGAGAGCTTCCGTGCTCGGGAATCATCAATGACCCGGGGATTTGTGGCACTGATGGCATCTGGAAACCAAAGGAAGAGGAGGTTAGAAAACAAGCTTCCACGTGCCATCCGTTCATGGGGCACAGCTCACATTCCTGCCCCTGCTCCATTCCTCGCCTGCTGAGACATCCACCTTCCCAGAACACCCGCTGTGCTATCAGTGTATGAGATACTGATGTTCCACGTTTGTAGAAACATGGATTTGTTAACATTTTTAAAATAACCTGATGGAACTTTCCTAGCCATGCAGACACTGACATTTCTGAAGACAGAGGAATGATCTCCCAGAACCCAGTTCAAAGCGTGGCTGCCAACGCGAGGCAGCAGGGCTGCTCGGCACTGGAGCTGCCACCAAGAACGCACAGGACAACATTATGAAGAGTGCACCGTGCAGAAGGACACCTGACAGGAGAGAGACAGCTTGGGCCATAGCAAGAAGAAGCTAGAGAGTTCATAGATGTCAGAGACAGCCAACTTATTACAATCCATCAGTGTATGATTGGTCATGGAAGCTGTAGGTACCAGCTACTCATCTCCAAGTCTGCCTCGGCTGCAGAGTAAAATGGACTTACCAGCATATCCCAAACATTTTAGATCTTTAATCTTCACCGATTACAGTCGGACTTTCAGTTAAGTGGGAAAGGATGCACCTGCTAGGATGCACTCAGAGTTATGCTTTCATTGTTAGACCGTGCTAAAAATGGGCTTAAACTGTATGCCAGCTGGCAACTAAGTTCTCATGCGGTATGGAAAAACTATCTTCCCAAGAAGAAACTGATCTGAACTCCTTAAGACATGCCAGGGACATACGGGCTGTAAGTGAACCTGGTCAGGAGCAGTCAAAGGTGTGCTAGGCTTGTCATTAAGAATTCTTCTTCTAGAGCTGGTCCACAGAGTTCCTTTGTACGACTGTACCACGGCTGTGACCTCAAGCTGGCTGTAAATCTGGGACAACAGTGACCACTGGGCCCCCGGTCACATTGTTCTTTCTCAGTCCTGAGACTCCACGATATCTTTTTGCACCCCTAGCCCAGCCCTGAACCAAGATCCTTCAGTCCTGAAAGTAATTCCACAAGTATCAGAAATTTAAAATGTTCATTCTACTCTTTATCCAGGATCCAAAGCAAACACCACTGAGATTCCTCTTCCACTGTCCTTGCCTGAGTTCCAACCCTATGATCTTTGTCCTCATGAAGAGTATGATCCCACCAGTGTATCCCAACGCTCAGGGATTGAGTTCTGCCACAACCTTCTCCCTGCTCACATCCTCCATCCTCCGCTCTGTCTCTGTTGTTGCCTTTACATCCCAACAACCCCTCCAGCCCCAGGCATCACGAACCCTTCCTCCCTCCTGCCTCTGCTTTACCATCTACAGACGAAAGAGGCAACCGCAGTTCAGGTGTCCGGAACGCGGCGCGCTGCTGCCGCCGCCACCTCCGCGTCTCCCGCCGTGAAGCTCTGGGCAAAGCGCTTCCTGCAGCGCTCCCCGGCCCCGCGCCGGGGCCTTTCCTCCCGGCAGCCCCTCTCCATCGGCAACTCCACTGCCCGGGCTCATTTTCTGTGCACACCTGGACCCCCGGGCACCCGCACCCCCTTGGTCGCTCTCTGTTCCCATTCCCACCTTCAGCCTCACGCTGCAGTGAGGTGACACTTGGCCTTATTGCTTCCTGCCTGGCTCCTGCTTGGGATCCCATGCTTGGAAGAAGAACGTGGAGGCTTATCCCAGGTTGCTGCTGCTCTTCTGCACAACCACACATGCACTGGCAGCACCTCACAGAAGATGATGCCCAACAACTCCAGGATGCTGGAAGCCAGCTATGATCCCCTCAAACCTTTCTTAGTGCAGGTTGCCCCAGGAAGACACACAGCGATGCACTGGCAGGAAAACCTGGGCCCTGACTCCTGCCCCTGCCTCAGCCACTGCAGGATGCAAGCAGGACTGCAGGAAGAAGGGAAATCCAAGATGTTCATGGATTTCAAAGAAGAAGGTGGCTCAGTGGGAGGTAAGCACAGTTCTCCATAGGAAGAAATGTGCTGAAATGGACTTTTTCAACATTTACAGCACCTTAAAACAGGGACCTGAAAATAGCTCTGTCCCAAATGCTGCTTACCAGTGCCAGAGGAGCAGACCAAGCAGCTCCTACAACCCGCAGCGACGCGCCGAGGGCTGCAGCGAGCACACAGCACCCCCTGCTCACCGAGGGAGGACTGCGGACCGCGGCAGCTCCCGTCTCTCACCTTGGGTGCCCACCAGCACGTAGTAGTTATACACTGTCTGGAAGCTGATTTCATCCTCCAGGCTGAAGACAAACACCACGGCATCAACCCAGGCGGCAAACTGCAGGAGACGGCAGCGGTTAGGGAGCAGGGCAGCGTCCCAGGCCTGTGCACAGGAGCAGCAGCACCGTGGCTGCGCGGGAGGCCGCAGCTGGGCACGAGCTCCTCAGCGTCGCAGCGACGCAGCCACAGGGGAAGGCAGCCACACACACAGGCCCTGCCCTTGCTAAGAACTTCTCAGTCTCCATCACGGAGTCTCCCCACCTGTTGTTCACAACCTTGCATTTATCTATCCCAGAGCTTCTCCCCAGAGAAGAGTGAGGCCAGTTCCTTCTCCAGGAACTCTCTAATCCTTCTGGCACGGCAGGGACTGGAAGGGGTCTCACGAGGTACAGATCTCCTACCTGCAGTTCAGGGGGGCCCCCTTCATCGCGAATCAGCAGCAAGTAACTCTGGCCATCCACTACAATCTCCTTCTTAAATCGGCCACCTGGGAACAAAGCAGAGCAGCCGGTCACGGGGGAGCGGGAGGCGCGGGAGCGAGGGGGGACACCCGCAGACACCAGGGAGGCGGCAGAGCCCCCGGGCCGCGGGGAGCGCTCGGGAACGGCCCGCGCCACGACCCACCTTCCGGAGACTCCTCCTGCACGTAGGTGCCGGTCAGGTAGCGGTGCACCAGGGCCGACTTGCCGCTAGGGAGGACTGCGGACCGCGGCAGCTCCCGGCTCTCACCTTGGGTGCCCACCAGCACCATCGGCACCTCCGCCGTGTTCCGGTAGCTGCAGAGCCGCAGGTAGTAGTTATACACTGTCTGGAAGCTGATTTCATCCTCCAGGCTGAAGACAAACACCACGGCATCAACCCAGGCGGCAAACTGCAGGAGACGGCAGCGGTTAGGGAGCAGGGCAGCGTCCCGGGCCTGTGCACAGGGCCGTCCGCAGGAGCAGCAGCACTGCGACTTCTCCGCAGAGAAGAGCGAGGCCAGTTCCTTCTCCAGGAACTCTCTAATCCTTCTGGCACGGCAGGGACTGGAAGGGGTCTCACGAGGTACAGATCTCCTACCTGCAGTTCAGGGGGGCCCCCTTCATCGCGAATCAGCAGCAAGTAACTCTGGCCATCCACTACAATCTCCTTCTTAAATCGGCCACCTGGGAACAAAGCAGAGCAGCCGGTCACGGGGGAGCGGGAGGCGCGGGAGCGAGGGGGGACACCCGCAGACACCAGGGAGGCGGCAGAGCCCCCGGGCCGCGGGGAGCGCTCGGGAACGGCCCGCGCCACGACCCACCTTCCGGAGACTCCTCCTGCACGTAGGTGCCGGTCAGGTAGCGGTGCACCAGGGCCGACTTGCCGCTGGACAGGTTGCCCACGATGCCCTGCGATAGAGGCAAGC